GGGTGGGTAGGTAGGTAGGTAGTTTGGAGAGTAAATGTATTGGTAGCAAGGTAAGTAGGTAGGTGGGTTGTGAGTAGGTTGGTAGCTAGGTTGGTAGGTAGGTAGGTAGGTAGGTAGGTAGGTAGGTAGGTAGATAGGAAGGTGGATGGACAGGTAGGTAGGTAGGTAGGTAGGTAGGTAGGTAGGTAGGTAGGAAGGTGGGTGGGTAGGTAGGTAAGTAGATAGGAAGGTGGATGGGTAGGCAGACAGGCAGGAAGGTAGAGAGGCATGTACAAAAATATATGTACTTGCAGACGAGAGAAATAGAGATAGATGAAAAGAGAGTTAAATAGAACTTCCCAGGAAGTTGAGTTTGTTTTAGAATGCTTTCATGTCTGCTGGGGTAGTAGTATAGATTGTGAAGTGCATAGAGTTTGCTGTTGAGCGGGGATTTGCGCTATACAAATGCTATCTATTATTAACAAAATCTTTGCGTCCTCAGCCCGCCGACCTGCTCACCTGACGGTAGACATCCTCATCTCCCGGCTGGCCCACACTCCCAGGCTGAGTACATTGAAGACCGCTCCGAGAACGCTCACTACGCTACCTACTACACCAACAAGGAAGAACCAAACTCGGTCAATGTCATAGGAATCAGGATGCATGAACTGGTCAGCTGGGTTTGAATCCGATGATTGTTCTGGGAAGCCCTCTACCTGCATTGTGTTGTTGAGTTTCTGCGTATAGTTCATGGCGAGTGAATGTAGATTTGGTTTGCCCGGGTACCCGTACCTGCTTGAAGGAAATCCTTTCTTGGATATCACAAGTTCTCCGTGTTTCTTTCTTGGTTTCTCTCTTGGAAATCTGAAGTTCTCGTCGTTTCTTTCTTGAATATCTTAAGCTCTCGTTTCTTTCTTGAATATCTTAAGCTCTCGTTTCTTTCTTGAATATCTTAAGCTCTCGTTTCTTTCTTGAACATTTTAAGCTCTCGTTTCTTTCTTGAACATCTTAAGCTCTCGTTTCTTTCTTGAACATCTTAAGCTCTCGTTTCTTTCTTGAACATCTGAAGTTCTCGTTGTTTTTGTCTTAAGTATTTCAAGTTATCGTTGGCTTTTTCCTTGGGTACCTCAAGTTCTCCTTGTTTTATTTTTGTTGTTTGTTAGTTTTTTTGTTGGGGGGGGGGGGGGGTGAATATCTCAAGGTCTCGTTGATTCTTTCTTGGATATCTCAAATTCTCGTTGATTCGTTCTTGGATATCTCAAGTTCTCGTTGATTCTTTCTTGGATATCTCAAGTTCTCGTTGATTCGTTCTTGGATATCTCAAGGTCTCGTTGTTTCTTTCTTGGATATCTCAAGTTCTCGTTGATTCGTTCTTGGATATCTCAAGTTCTTCTTGTTTATTTCTTGGATATCTCAAGTTCTTGTTGATTCGTTCTTGGATATCTCAAGCTCTCGTTGATTCGTTCTTGGATATCTCAAGTTCTCGTTGCAGGCTTACAGATATGCTCGTTGACGCAAAGGTTTGATGTGCTGTCAAATGTACCTGTAAGAAAGGTGTAAGTCATGTGAAAAAACAGGATCGTTTAAAAAAACTATTAAAATATGAATGATGATAAATTGTGTTTTAATTCTAATGCACCTGTACAGCAAGTCTAAATTATGGGAAAACACGGGATAGTTTAAAAATTATTAAAATAGGAATTATGATAAATTGTGTTTTTATTCCCCTTGATGTACAGAAAAGTGGGAAGACATGGAATAACATCAAGAGGCCAGATAGAGAAAAGTGGAAAGTGATTGTCCGTGGCCTATACCCTAGTGAAGGGTGAGAAGGGCAATGATGAAGATGATGATGATAATGTGTTTTAATTCGAATGTTTTTGGTGTAGAGCTATTCCGCAGTAATTGGCGGGACGATTGGGCGATACTTTCTTACAATGATAGCGCTGTAATTCAATATCTATTCAAATTTAAACGATCTGAACAATTGAAAGATATGTCTAGAATTACATTAAATGCAATCATTTTTGAGGGGGAAAATTACTGTATGCCAATTGTGTAACGTGTTTAGTTTCGGTAAGTGACAGGACAGAAAAAAATATCTCATTTGTCTCGTCAGTTACCGAAACTAAACACGTCATAAACTTTGCTTAAAGTACTCTTTTTTTTTTTAATCAAATGACAGTATTTAAATTTAATGGGATTATTAATAATGTCTTTCAAATGTTCCGATCATTTGAAATAGATCTAATCTGTCCCTTCAGTTTCAATCAACGAAACTAAACATGTCGCAGAATCGGCATAAAGTACTTTTTTTCTTCTTCAAATGATTGTATTTAATGTGATTCTTAACAATAATGTCTTTCAAATGTTCTGATCATTTAAATTTGAATTGATATTGAATTACAGTGTTACAGTGTTTTCATTGGTAGAAAGTATAGTCCAAATGTCCCGTCAGTTATTGTGGAATAGCCCAACACTTCTGCCTATGTCTAACGTGTCTGGTGCAGCTACTGGCTAG